CGCCCCAGTCTGTGCGTCGAAAGGCAGGAGCGGGGGGGGGGGGCTCACTCGGTGAGAGCCACCCCTCCCTGCGTGCTGTGGCGTCGGATCAAGCCCCCCCTCCCGTGGACGGGGGTGGGGGAGGGAGGCCGTCTCACTCCACGCGGATCAGCAGCCCATGCAAGACCGTCGCCCCCTTCTCCTTGGTGACCCACTCGATCTCGGCACTGCTGAAGCGGGGGTCCAACGGCTCCGGGACGGCCAGGGTCTGGGGGCACACTTTGTAGGAGCCGGGGCGCACGCACACCTGGAAGGCCACCTGAGCCGCGTGCTGCCGATGGGACTTTGGGTCTTTAAATCTGGAGAGCGGGAGAGGAAGAAGAAAGGGGGGGGTTGTCAGGAGAAGACGGGGGGGGGCATTCAGGGCAGGGCAGAGGAGTGGCTGGGGAGGCCCCACAAGAATGTGGGCATTCCCTGCCCCAGGGGAGAAAACACAGAACCTCCACAGATGGAAGTCCCCCCCGCCCCCATGCTGCTAACTCCTGGCAGTGATCGGAGAGCCCCTGGGGTTATCGGTCCCCTCCTCTCTGTGCCACCCAAACAGTCACCAGGGTGGCCTGGCAGAGATGGAGGAGGAGATTGGATTCATACCCCGCCCTTCACGCGGAGTCTCAGAGCTGCTGACAAACTCCTTTCCCCTCCCCTCCCCACAACAGACACCCTGTGAGGTCGGTGGGGCTCAGAGAGCTCTGACAGAAACGGCTCTTTTTTAAGGACAGCTCTTGTCAGAACGATGGCTTGCCCAAGGTCATCCAGCAGCTGCAAGTGGAGGAGGAGTGGGGAATCAAACCCGGCTCTCCCAGATTAGAGTCCGCGCACTTCACCACGACACCAAACGGGCTCTGATCTGCCTTCGGAGGCTAGGTGGGCACTAAATGCAGATTAGACCGTTCTGTGATGGACCTTCAGCCATGGAAGACCTGCGCTTAGTACCAACTTTAGGGACTTTTCAGTGCTAGGCTAGAACCATCTTGTTCTGCTCTATCTGCTGGGATTTTATGGTGAGCGGAAAAACACCCCAAAAGTTTAGTTGGTTTCTAGGATGCAACTGGACTAGAATCTAGCTATGGGGAATGAGAAATACTTAAAATGTATATGTGAACCGCCCAGAGACCCTTTGGGGTCAGGGCCGAATGTATAAATAAATATAAATAAAACTACAGAAGAAGGCCAGTGGGGAAACAACTGATCGCTTTAATATGTTGTCGAAGGCTTTCAGGGCCGGAGTTCATTAGCTGTTGCAGATTTTCCGGGTTGTATGGCCGTGGTCTTGGCATTGTAGGAAGTATGTGTTTCTTCTCACCTTGACAGAGAGAGTCCTCCATCTTTCTGTGTGGTACCTCTGAGGATGCCAGTCACAGCTGCTGGCGAAACATCAGGTCCTACAATGCCAGAGCGCCAGTTTGGTGTAGTGGTTAAGTGCGCGGACTCTAATCTGGGAGAACTGGGTTTGATTCCCCACTCCTCCACTCACAGCTGCTGGATGACCTTGGGCAAGCCATAGTTCTGTCAGAGGTGTTCTTGAAAAAGAGCAGTTCCCAAAAGCGCTCTCTCAGCCCCACCCACCTCTCAGAGTGTTTGTTGTGGGGAGGGGGAAGGGAAAAGAGATTTGTAAGCTGCTCTGAGACACCTTTGGGTAGTGAAGGGCGGGATATAAATCCAATCTCTTCTTCTTCTGGACCACGGCCAGGCAACCCGGAACTGTTTTGATTGAAAGGTGGGGTGCAAATATCCTGCAGGAATGAATATCTTATTCCCCTCTTGCAAGCATCTGATATTTGTAGATGGACCACCAGAATACTGAATTCCGACAGACTAACACGGTGACCCTTTGTCCGTTGGGTAATTCTTGGTGAGCAGGCACCACTGACAGGCTGGGCATTCTGGTATTCGCCTAATCCCTTTAAGAACAGACACCTGGTAACAGCCGTCACTGCCATCCTGTGGCGAGGAGTACCACAGGATAATCCCATGCCGAGCACAGAAGGACTGCCCACTAACAGTTCAAACTGTTCACTTCAGGGAACACGCAGCCCACGCGCCAACACGGTCCCACAAAATATCCCCTTTTCCTTTTCCCTCTCCTCCCATGCAACTGGGCCTCTCACATTAAATCTCTTGCATGTGCTCTCTGACCCCTTTCTTACCTCAAAGGCCACGAGAACCTGGATGTTTTCCCCACCCCCGTCCCTTTCCTGTGGACGGCTACTGGCCTGAAGAGCTATGTGCCCCTCCACTAGGCCTGCCAACTGGCCTGGAGAATGGGTGCCCTGTCCCTTTAGCAGAGGTATTTTGCAGGTGACTGTATTTTCAAGCCACGAAAAGAAAAGCTTCCATGGTCCATTTCTACACCTTTTCCTTCCAGGCCTGTTGGTTTACAAGATTACGCATGGGATAGAGCAGGTCGAGAAAGAAGTCCTTTTCTCCCTTTCTCACAATAAAAAAACTCGTGGGGACTCCATGAAATTGCTGAGCGGTCAGGTTAGAACAGAAGGAAGTCCTCCTTCACCCAAAGAGTCATTCACACGTGGAATTCACTGCTACAGGAGATGGCGGTGGCTACAAGCATTAATGGCTTCAAGAGGGAATCAGATAAACATCTGGAGCAGAGGTCCATCAGTGGCTCTTAGCCACAAGATCTAGATAGGAACTCTCAGGCAAGGGATGCTCTGTATTCTTGGTGCTTGGGGGGCGGGTAGGACCAACAGTGGGGTGGCTTCTAGTGCCCTGGCCCCACTGCTGGACCTCCTGATGGCCCCTGGTATTCTTGGTCACTGTGTGACACAGAGTGTTGGGCTGGATGGGCCACTGGCCCGATTCAACATTGGCTTCTCTTATGTTCTTAACCATTCCTTCAAGTCCTGGAGAAATGCCCACTCCCCCTCCCCTGCTTCCCAGCTCTCCTTCCCCCTCCAGCCTCGGACAAGCCCCCCCCCCCGAGACACCTACTGCACTTTGGTGGCAAACGCCTCCAGCCCGGCGTAGCGCAGGGTGGGTGACAGCAGGATGCGCAGGAGATCCTCGCGGCTGGGGGAGCTGTTCTCCTCGGCCTCACGGTACCCTCCGCTGCTGCCCCCGCTGCCGCCTCCTCCTCCTCCTCCTCCACCACCACTGCCCTGCGGGTCTGCCTTGACTGGGCGGCAGCTCAGGATGGACGTGCTCCCTGCAGAGCCGGGAAAGAGACATGCGACCGCGCTAGAAGGACGCAACAGGGCAAGGCTGCGGGGGCTGAGTCACGCTGGTGTGTCTGGCTCCTGGCCCCACAAACGTGACGCCCCGTCCCACCCAGCGGCTGGGGTGTGTGTGTGTGTGCTGAGTCTGCCTGCTTTCTTCTCTCTCTTTCTAACTGGGGGGCAATTACTGCAAAGGGCCCGAGGTTCAGCTCAGCCAAGCAACACAACACGGGTGAGGAAAGGCGCTCTGGACGCAATGCTCCCTCCCAAGCTGAGTGAGCGTGAGCCAGCTCACCGTTTCTTAGCCTCCGGCTCACACCTTTTTGGCTTAGCTCAGGAAGGAGGGCTCCAGAGCGAACGAATTGATGCAGCAGCCAAATCGCTCACTCGCAACTTTCATGCCAGCAGCTCACAGAGTAGGATTTCTGCTCACAGACGCCACAGCTTAGAGGGAGCACCGCTCTGGAGCCCAACCAGGACGTCACAGGCTGCCACGGCTGCTGGGTTGAACACACAAAGCTGCCTTCTCCTGAATTGGAACCTCGGTCCCTCAAAGGCAGCGTCGCCTCCTCGGACTGGCAGTGGCTCTCCAAGGTGTCAAAAAGCGGAGGACTTTCACCACACCTGGTCTTTGTAACTGGAGAGGACGGGGACTGAACGTGGGGTCTCCTGCATAGCAGGCACCTTATCTCTCTGTCCTGGAGGTACCCAGTCAACGGAGAGCTTTTACTCTGGCAAGATGGCGACTCAGTCCTCCCCTCTGCCGTTTTCAAGGGGAGATATAAAAAGACTCCCACGAAGGAGAGGATTTGTCTCTGTGGCACTCAGGGCTATTTTTGGGCAGGAACGCACAGGAACGGAGTTCCGGCTGGCTCCCGAGTTGGCCACGCCCAGCAGGAACTCATTAGCATAATAGGCCACACCCAACAGCAGAGACTCATTAGGATTGGCTACATTAGGGGTGTGTGGCCTACCATGCAAAGGAGTTCCTGCTACAAAAAAAAGCCCTGGGTTTTGACCACAAACAAGGTAAACAGAATAAGAAGCGAAAGGTGGGTGTGGCTGGATGACCACACTTCTGGCAGCATGGGGGTGCGGCCTAATATGCTAATGAGCAGTGCGGTCAGGGTGTGGCCTAATATGCTAATGGGTTTTGCTGTTGGGTGTGGCCTATTATGCTAATGAGTTCCTGCTGGGCTTTTTCTACAAAAAGAGCCCTGGCTGGCACTAATGAGGTGGAATCAGTTGAGCACGTAATGTCCCGCTGTCGCTTCCTATCAGGAAGCTCGTTCCAATAGAATTTCCCCTCTACTCAATTTATTCATTTATTTATTATGAGATTTATCGCCTGCCCTCCCCACGAGCGGGCTCAGGGCGGTTCACAAACTGGGCACGTGTGCCAATGGTTAAAACAGTTAAAAACTGAAGAGCAGGAGGTTCTGATTCTTCAGGAGGTTCCGACGTACATGTTTTAGAGAAACTTTTCATGGGTCCTAATCAACAGATGACCATTAGCTGTGCCAATTTTTTCCCAGCAGCCTGTACAATGCGTAGAGAAATCTTATGTACGGATCTTAACGGATTGCTGCCAATCGATCACACCAATCTTATTTTCGAATGCATTTACCGTAAAGCTTTTATTTTTGACTTGTACTGGTCCGTTGGCTGAATAAAGAAACTGATTGCGTACCAAGCAGATGCTCGGCCACTGAGCCACAGGCCCTCTGTAATCATCCGGGGTTCCCTGGATGAACAAACCCATGCTGAACCCCAATAACTGGTGCTGGACGGGCTCCTGCTTAGGGGGCAGACTCCCAGTCTACTCTCCTGAATCTACGAACGCTCCACCTGGGTGCCCTCTACTCATTTGGCTGGCATGCCCCGATGTCTCCTACTTCTGGGAGACAAGAGGACCCGGCAACGCTCAGTTAGGTGCTGGTGCTTGGATGGGAGACCACCCAGGAAGCCCAGGGCCACGGCGCAGAGGCAGGCAGTGGCCAACCACCTTGGTTTGTCTCCTGCCTTGAAACCCCTATGGGGTTGCCCTAAGTCAGCTGTGACTTAACGGGCACTTTCCTCCACATACAACCAAGGCTCCCTCTAAGCTGTGGAGTCTTGTGAGCAAAAATTCTACGATGTGAGCGACTGGCATGAAAGTTGTGAGCGAGCGATTGGGCTCCTGCATAAATCAGTTTGCTCTGGAGCCCCATCCTTCCTGAGCTGAGACAAAAATGTGTGAGCCGGAGGCTAAAAAACGGTGAGCTAGCTCTCACTGGCTCAGCTTAGAGGGAACACTGCATACAAACCCACCACACTTTCTGGTCTTGGGGTTAAAACTGTGGGTCTTCTGTCAGGGGGAGACAGCTCTAAGGAGAGGAAACACCTCAGAGGTAAGACGATCCCCACTCCCTTACCTGGCACCAGCTCCCCTTGATCCAACGTGCGGCGTACTGCCCCGAGGCTCGTTCCGTGATAGGCCATGTGCCACTTCTTAGAGGTACTGGCTACCTCCAGCCGGGGATTGATTCTGCAATGGCCAGAGGAAAGAAGACAGAGAGGGAGGCTGTGCGTGAAGTCCTGCGTGGTCCAGTTACCAAGCGTATTCAGGCCCTTAAGGCAAAACTTCTTCCACCTGGGACCAAAAGCACTGGTGGGGTTCATCTCAGCCTCTAGTCACAAGAAGGCCCGACACTCTATGACAGGGGTGTTGAACTCATTTGTTATGGGGGCCGGATCTGACATAAATGAGACCTTGTTGGGCCGTGCCGTGTGCGTGATGAAAGGGAATGCCAGGTAGCGGAGATATACACTTTATGAAGGACACAAACACAAAGATTTTTTTAAACTTAAAATAAAAACATGCTTAAAACAGCTCTGTCAGCTGCAAACCTACTTTTGATTTATTGACATCCGCTGCAGAAATCTCATGCTCAGAGTTCTGAGTCTAGGACCCAGGTGAAAACGTGAAATGGCTGAGTGATTAAGAGAGTCTGGCGAAGCAAGCTATGATGCAGCAGCAGCAGCAGCAGAGCTGGAAGCAGGAAAGGGCCAGTTCCACTGTGGGCCCGATGGAAGCCCTGTGGGGGCCTGATCCGGCCCCCGGGCCACATGTTTGACACCCCTGCTCTATGATTTCTGCTTTTGAGTGACATTCCAATGCTGCCATCCAGAACGCATGCACACACACATGTTCATACCTGAGGCTGAAGCGGCACCACCCGAAAGGCAGGGCGTAATCTCGAGGCGGCTCCCCACGCTTGTAGTACGCTTCATCACCCCGGAGCTTGTGGCAGGACTCGCAATAGCAGAGGCTGTACTTCGGATCTTCCACAAAATAGTCGTCTGGGGAGAGGGAGAAAGAGATTAGGGAGGGCCTCAGCCAGGGCCGGACGTCAGGCCTTTGGCATCAAATGCAAAAAGAAAGGGAAGGGGGAAGGAAAAAAAAAAGAGGGGGGGGGAAACTCAACCCAAAAAGTTGCTATGGATCCACAAGGGTTAAGCTGACACTAAATATTATGAAAATGCAAAATTTATTCAGGTGTACACATTTTAAAACTTAGACTCATTAAAAATATACCATTCAGCCATAAAAAAACTTCTCAACATTCATACATAGATGGGTTAGTGCTGTGCAACTGAACCAAACGTGTTTCGGCCCCTCAAAGGGCCTTCCTCAGTGGTCACAATTCCAATTACAATTCCAATTACAAATTTGACATACATTAAAAAAAAAATGTTAAGCATAAGATGTTAAATACATATGCAGTATAAGGCCAGATGTTGTTTCCTAAATACATATGTATTTGTTTATTATTATTATATAAGATGGGCCTCCGGTCTAGCCAATTAAAGTCCACCAATAATTCTGGTAGCACAAACTTGCGTGAGTACAGGATGGAGTGACATACATTCAACTCACGCAAGTTTGTGCTACCAGAACAACATCTGGCCTTATACTGCATATGTATTTAACATCTTATGCTTAACATTTTTTTTTTAATGTATGTCAAATTTGTAATTGGAATTGTAATTGGAATTGTGACCACTGAGGAAGGCCCTTTGAGGGGCTGAAACGCGTTTGGTTCAGTTGCACAGCACTAACCCATCTATGTATGAATGTTGAGAAGTTTTTTATGTTCGAATGGTATATTTTTAATGATTTTTAATGAGTAAGTTTTAAAATGTGTACACCTGAATAAATTTTGCATTTTCATAATATTTAGTGTCAGCTTAACCCTTGTGGATCCATATCAAATGCAAAAACCCATATTTCCTCTTTTCAGAGGTTGAACCCCACGGATCCCAGTTCTGTTAGGGATGGACCTGGCCCCTGGAAGAACCCTCCCCCTGATCCAAGACCCTGGTTTCCAGAAAGTGAGGACAGAGCTGGCTTGGGACGAACCCCTGGCCACTGTGTGACAGAGCGCTGGACGGGACGAATGATGTTTATTTGCAGTCAAAGACCATTGATCAAAATAATACATGTTTGTTAAATACAAGCAAATTAGCTTTCAGCTCCAAAAATAGACATATAACTTTAAAATCATAAAAATGTTAGAAGGAGAAAAGCTTAACGGTCCATTATATCAAAACAATGGCCCGTAATGTTGACATCGAGTAGCTGCCTCAAGAACGAGCAGAATAAACATCTAAACACTTTATGTGGAATAACATCGAAGCACTCTGTTTGAAAGCACTTTATTCGTTTGATTCTTAACCGCCGCCAGTACTCTGATATTTTGTAATGTACTATTTAAATGCTGTGGTTTAATTCTGTATTATTTATGTTTTTATTCTGTCTTGTTGTGTTGTTGTTGGAAGCCGCCCTGAGCCTGCTTTGCGGGGAGGGCAGGGTATAAATTTGACTATAAATAAATAAATAAATAAACTAAACTGCTTATGAGTCCTGCAGAAGGTAAGTGAGGGTTATACTTGATCTACGTCTTATTGTGAAATTTTACCAGTTGCCAGCAGAATTTTGCTATTTGACTGGAGATCTGCTGATTTTCCTCTATCAAAAGTTTCTCTAGCTTAGCACTCTCTGCGTCAAGTGCTGGTCTAAGAGGGGGGCTGTAGGAATTAGAGACTCCCGTGAGGCAAGCCCAGGAGTTCTCAAGTTCTTATCGGGAGATTGGCAAATGCAAATGCACAAGGTCTTTTGAGTCTGCATGAGTCTGCTAAATTACTCTAAGAGCACAAACTTTGCAACATTCGAAGATAATATGAGCTGTGAGAAGAACATAGTGTGATTCTAGTTAGAGGCTTCTAAGAGTAACGATTTCACTGTACAATGTGTGAGCTTGCTTTTTCCTCTGAATAAAACACTGCTGACAGGCAGTCAAAGGAACAGTTTGGTACAGAGAGACAGAGAGCCTGATCAGTCAGCTTCAACAGATCTGTTGTGTGGTGTCGTTTATTGAACCCCAAGTCTACAGGGGGCAATAAGTTTATCCCTATAAACTTGATGAAAAGGACAGCGAAATAACATGTGGAACATCGACTCCACTTCTCCCATGGAACACGGGCAGCACCTGCCTTCATATGGTATCTTTCTATATAGCTGCACAACGAGCCAGGGTAAGAGCTCTTCTATACGGTGGCGCATCCAAAAGTGAGGACGGAACTGGTTTGGGACAAATCCTTGGCCACTGGGTGACAGAGAGGGTTGGACTGGATGGGCCATTGGCCTGATCCAACATTGGCTTCTCTGATGCTCTTATGTTCTTGAGGAGGGAGTCCCCAAGTGAAGGCGCCACCAAAGAGAAGGCCCTGCCAATTCAGCCTCCTCCAGCGATCGTCATGTACTTATCTATTAGAAACACTTTCATGCCGCCGTTTCCACCCGAGCAGGCGGCACACGTAAAAACACTAAACAATTAAAAACAATATTTAAACTTATGAAATAATTCAATAAAAACACATAAACAGTACCAGGACGGGGAGGAAGACCAATACTGGTTACTGGGGGTATGACAAACAAAACAGAGTCTTCACCCGCCGGCAGAAGACACCAACAGAGAGGCACAGACAGATCTTGCCGGGGAGGGAGTTCCAGGGTTTCAGTGCTGCAACTGAGAAAGCCCTTTCTTGGGTTCCCACCTGGAGCAGGACCTCCGAAGATGACCAGCGTGGACAGGTAGGTTCATTTGGGGGGCGGGGGGGACACAGCCCTTAAGGTATGTTGAACTGAGCCCAGAACCAAACTGGAAGCCCTTGGGAGCCACTCCAGTCAACAATCTGGCCAGAGCAACTGCAGCTTCCAGGGGGATGAGAGGAAGCATTCCCCAGGGATCACAGGAAACGTTCTCAAAAGCCGCTGCACCACACAGATACTATCAGCTCTGAAGCAAATGGCATGCAGGCTAAGAAGTCAGGGATCCCCCGTCCTGTCCCACCAGTCGGCTTAATCTGTGGACTCAGTTCTGCTCATTAAACCTCAGGAAAACCCACAGAAAACTACCGTGTTTCTCTGAAAATAAGACACTGTCTTATATTTATTTTTTCTCAAGAAGACACACTAGGGTTTATACCACAAATGCATAGAAATCCTGCTAGTGCTTATTTTGGGGGTAGGTCTTATTTTCGGGGAAACAGGGTACTTGATAGAACAAGGTTTGAGTCCAGTGGCACCTTTAAGAAGCAGCAGAAGAGATTGGATTTATACCCTACCCTTCACTTGGGAGTCTCAGAGCGGTT